AGAGAGAGAGAGAGAGAGAGAGAGAGAGAGAGAGAGAGAGAGAGAGAGAGAGAGAGAGAGAGAGAGAGAGATTCACCTAATCCTAACGGGAGAGACAGGCGTTCCGATTTACCTCCTCGTACAGGGCGGGACACAGAGAAACGTCTATACAACAAGCAGACAGACAGACACACACAGACACACACACACACACAAAAACAAAAACAAAAAAAAAGAAAAGAAAAGGGCGGAACACGTTCGCTTTGTCGGAAGAAGCGAAGAAGAAAAGCAAAGGTAGCGCGGCCGCACCTTTGGAGAGCAAAGGCGGCGGCGATGGAGGCGGGCGTAACAGATGTTCCTTGCGGATCTTCCACTGATTTGATGTGCGTGGAAGAAGCTCTAGCCAGTCTGAAAAGCATCAACAAGACCCTGAATCTCCTGCAGCTGAGCAAACGCGAAAGCCGACAATTGTTCACGCATTGCACCAACCTTAGGAGTTGGCTGAAACAGGAATACAGTAAAATGAAGGCGACAAGTGACGGTAACGAGGACCGCGATCCTCACTACGCTGATGCCGAATGCCTTAGCTTAATCGCTTTGCGCGATGCTTGCAGGAACATGTCTTCCCTACTAGACTTGGCCGATTGTTGGGGAAGCGTTGGCAAGATCGTGTTTGGAGAGACCTTCGTGAGGCTTATGAAGAACGCACTTGGGAAGATGGTGGATGCTCTACAGGCGCTCCCTGCGGCCATGGACTTAGCCGCTTTGAATCGTCACAACGTGATTGACAGTATCAAGGTGATTTCGGCATCCTTGGACCCTGTGGAGGCTAGCTACCGTGAGCTCTACCAAGCCGTTGCAGGCCAGGTGTTGAGAAATTTGCAGGAGGGAACAGTCGAAGGGAGACTGGAGTGTGATTCTCTGCAAAGACTGAGTCTTGTAGACTTCTCTCTCATTGAGATGGAGAAGGTAGACGATGTGCAGCAACTGAGGGACAACTACCACGACATCCGGACCCGGATGAACGCATTATCTCCTGGCCCCTTGCTCACAACAGAGCAACAGGTTCTCGACTTTGCGATCATCGCCAGCTGGGAGGCTATGGTTCGGCGACTGTTCCCAGAGCGAAGGGGCGTACTAATTGGTGATGTGCAGCCTGAACCGTTGTCCTTATCGTCACGGGGCTGTGCCAGACGCCTTCAAAAGATCCGATCTTTGGAGTTCCCCAAGGAGTACAAGTGCACTGTCTGCAAAGATGTGTTCTGCAACCCTGTGGTGTTGTCGTCGGGGCATTCCTACTGCAAGAGCTGTGTGAAGAGGTTCTGGGCACAGAGCAAGGAGAGGAAGTGCCCTCGGACGAACATGCCTCACTGTGGAGAGCCGGTTGATAATCATGCGCTGGATGACATCATTGCGCATGTAGGCTATGTTCTGAGAGGTCTGCGGTTGACGGTTAGGGATGTGGGTCAAAGCATCAGGTATCAGGACAAGTCTGACCAGGAGGCCATTTCAATGGCTGTGGAGTTCTTTGAGTCGGGTGCCAATGCCCATCACATAATCCGGAACGCGGTGCGACCATTGAGGGACCTTGCAGAGAAGAACCCGGCATTGCGGCATGAGATATGGTCCAGGGGAGTGGTCAGCCAGTGTCTAAAGAAGATATTTGAACCCTGTCAGTGGGTGGAAGTGGAAGAAGTGCTAGAGCTGTTCGTGTTGCTGACGGATGAGGACACGGAAGAGGCTCATCAGCTTGTTCAGGACCGAAGGATTGAGATGGCGAGGGAAGTGTTCGGGCCGGTCTTGCTGAAAATGCTCATGGGAGGGGACCACTTGATGGTAGAGGCCAAGGAACAGGAGCTGATTCTGCAATTGCTTGCGAACATTCTAAGTGACAGGTCTGCCAGGAGATACATCTTGCAGCAGAAGGGGTTGATCGCCCAGCTGTGTGAACTTGAAATGCTCCATCTGAGAAGAGGGGGCCGTGGTGGCCACCTGTTTGACAAAGAGGATATGGCTGCACACTGCTTGTTTCTGCTGGCAGGGGTGCCCCCAGAACCCCCTTTACGCATTTACGGCTTTCTAGTGGCGCTCCTGAAGCTTGCCAGGAATCTGGACCCCAGCGAGAGACTTTGTGTGGTCCAAGCAATTGAAGAGGTGGTCTCCCAGGCGATCGTACAAGGAGCGAAGGCTATGGAGCAAGTCAAAGACATGGTGGAAAATGACTTAGCCTTTGGTACGTTGATCAGCAGCATCAGCAGCATCAGCAGCGACTCGACGGAGCCTATGGAGTTGAGGACTGCGGCGGTGCGTGTTCTGCAGCGGTTATGTTCACACCCTCTAACTGCCACTGCTGTTGCAGGCTGGCCCATCTCCGCCCAGCAGAGGCAGCCACTAATACCCAAGCTTCTGACCCTCCTGAGAGCCAATGATAGTTCGACTGCAGATTTCATAGAGTCGGTTATGCTAACTCTAGCAGGAATGGTACTGAACGGAGGACTCTCAGCTTGCAGGGTCATTTCGTTGTCGCTGGACGGTGTCCATCAATTCGTGACCTTCCTAGACAAGTATGTTGGTGGTGAAACCAGCGTATCTGTTAGGGTTTGCTTACAAGTTATGGCAGCCTTGGACCACCTAGTCTCCTTGGAGGACAGCAACACGAGGAATGTGGTAATGAAATGTCTTGTGATGGCGGCGGGCTTGGACATGCTTGTGAGGGTCCTGCAGTCAGCGGATCTCAATGCGTCTCTCAGAGGTGCTACCGCATTGACCCTTGCGCATGCATCGAAGTCAGACATTTGCCAAGTAATGATCCAGGACCTTAATTGCCTTGAGCCCTTGGTAATGCTGATTAACTCGTGGGCGGACAAAGTGGAGTGTCGTGCTCATGCGGTCACTGCTCTGGGAAGCATAATGTTAAACATTCCCTCCATGCGCAACCAGCTGGTACACTCGAAGCAGAATGTCACTCTTGAGAGCCTGGCTCACATCCTTGTGCGTGCAGAGACCCGGGAATGCAAGGTGGCTGCGGCCAGACTCTTGCCACTCGCCACGAGGACAGCAGCTGGGACTGCCCGTGAGCCGCTCGCTCCAGGTGTGATATCCACTCTGCTGGAGCTGCTTGAAGTGGGAAAGGTGGAATCTTCGGCACAGGAATGCTCAACGGACAGGTTCACTGTGATCGAGGCTCTTGAGTTCCTTGCATCAGACCTCAGTTACCGTAAACAATTGGTCGACACGAGGGGAGCAGTCGATGCGATTGTGAGGTTGGCCCAGTCTGGGAGGAGAAAGAGAGACTCTTTCTCCTCGCACCTGTTGGACAGCACCAGGAGGAGCAGCAGCAGAAGCGATAACAACCGAAGCAGCAGCAGCAACGGCAGCAGCAGCAGCAGCAGCAGCAGCAGCAGCAGCAGCAGCAGCAGCAACAAAGTGGATGAAGCTGCACCTGTTCGCGTTTTGATGTACCTAGCAAGCAGTGAGGAGGAGTATGTTCGTCACAGAGTCTATGCCACAGCCGACGGACTTAAAGTCCTGTTGGACCTCATTGATGAAAGGCAGGGCAGCAGCATTGAAGGCATCGCAGAGGTGGATGTCCTGAGAGCACTGTTAGTGTGCGTCGAACGGGACGAGGTGGCTCGCAAGATCGTGCATGCAGGTGATGGTGTGAGGATACTCATGGAATGCCTTAGAAGGAGCCTTAGAAGGAGTTCTGGGGGAATGTGGGGTGAAAAGGAAGCCTGCATTGTGGGAGTTGTTGCAGCTCTGGCAAAGGAGGAGGTTACCCAGGAGCAAATCTGTCGTGAGCGCGGCGCACAGGAAATGGTCGACTTCCTCACAGATGCGCGGGTGGGCAAGGAGTGGAAGATGAAGGCTCTGTCCGGGCTCTGCCATCTTGCGAAAGGGAGCGAGAATTGTCGCACCAGCCTCCGATCCGTGACGCCCCTTGTCAGCGTAATGCTGGCCATGGTTGATGGTAGCAGCCAATCCTCCTCGAATCTTCCCCTTTCTACTCGTCAGCGGCTGGATATCTTGCAGTCATTGAACAACCTTGTCCAAGGGGATCTCAGTGTCAGCAGCACAATAACGAGCCAGCTTGCGCGCGGGCTCACAACACTTCTCAGCGTTTTGCAGTCGAACGAGGAATCGATCGAATGCCGTTGCTGCGCGCTGCGTGTCGTTGAAACGCTCTCTTCGACTGCGACCTTCGCCCACTCCACCGCTCTCACCGATGTTCAGGTTGCCCATGTTGTGCCGATCTTGATTGCGCTTGACTGTTTTGCTGACCACGACTCGAGCATAGGGTATCCCATCAGTCGGCAGGGCTGCATGATTGCAGCTGTCAGCCTCTTGTCAACAGCCTTAACGAGGGGCAGTAAGGACTTTGGGAATCTCAACGACAAGGCAATGCAGATCATCATCAGCATGGTGGATCGGAGTGGCAGTCATTGTAGTCATGCAGAAGATCGTTGCAAAGTTGTAGAGACCTTTTACTGCATTGCCTGTGAACCCGAGTGCCGCAGCAAGCTTGTCGCCAAGGCAGATGGGCTAAGAGCTCTTGTGAAACTGGCGATGGAGACAGAGTCTGACCGTTGCCGAAAGAGATCGTTGCAGGCACTGCGCATTATACTCGAATCTGAATCAGAACATGTGCGTTCCGCTGTGTATGATTCAGGGGCGATCGCTGTTTTCTTGAGGGCAATCAGCGATAGGATAAATGGACTGGAGGAAGCAGCAAGAACGCTGCATCTGGCGGTGAGCAAGGACGATAGGGCCATGGAGTTGCTGCGCAGAGAAGTGCACACTGTGCAAACCCTCACGGGGTTCCTGAGATCCACGACTGATGATGCCTCAGCGATGAAAGCCACAGCTGCCTCACCATCTTCATCCACAGGAGGCTGGAGGAGAGATGTAGACTTTGAGATGGGTGTCATTCTGGCCAGAATGGCCGAGGTGGATACGGCGGATGTTGCCAGGTGGCAGGGCGACAGGATCCTGGTCAATATGCTTCACAGCCTTGACAAGGTGAAGAAGGATATCTCCCATCGCCAGTTCATAGATCCGGTCCTTGCCGGACTGTGTAAGTTGTCGTGTCTGAGCAGTGCCTGCAGGAAAAAGATGAACGAGACAGGCCTTATCAAAACGCTCCTGCAGATCATTGAATGTGAGCAGCCAGCGGATAATGCCGCAGAATTCAGCATCCTTGCCAGCTCGTCGCTTGTTCTGTTGGAGATGGTAAAAGAGGGACAATGTCGAGCTGAGATTCTGGATTGTGGCGGTCTGTCCCTTCTCCTCAACCTCCTGGAGGTGCTGAAGAAGGAGGCGGCGGCGGCATCCAATGCGCAAGCCACTGAACCTGCGCGTCATCACTCAATGCAGTTGGCAACTAATGTGACGCGTGTGCTCAGTGCGCTCATGACCTCCGTCGAATTTCAGGAATGGAATAGTCAGGAGGCCTCACAAGTTGCCCTCAAAGTCTCTCTCGTGGATAGCATGCTTGAAGAGCAAGCAGTTGAAGACGTGAAGCTTGCAGCCATTGTACTTCTCCCCATGGCACTGAGAAGGGGAAACCAATCGCAGTACGAAGAAGTAGATGACCCTGAGTACGGTGGTGCTCTCCGAGCCTCGGCCATCGAGACTGTCTGGCGATTTGCTGATCGACGGCTGCGCTCTGGAGGAGGGGTCAGCTTGGGGGGTAACGAAGCTCTGAGTCATGTGGCTAGAGCCCTTGAGGCCATTGCCTTGCACAGCGATTGCTGGAAAATGCTGCTAACTTCTCCTGACGGGGTGAAGGTCTTGGGGCGGTTGGCTTGGTGTGGGATGCGGAGCAATGCCCGAGCAAACGAGGAAGAAGAAGGAGAGGAGGGAGGAGGAGGGAACGAGGATGTAATGAATGGGTCATTGAGGGGGGATACTGATTTGCAGCACTGCCAACTGGCTGCGACACATGCTTTGGCACTTCTTTTGAGAAGGGCGGACAGAACTCCTGTGCAGCGGCGGCAAATCTATGATGCCAAGGCCATTCCCGCCCTTTTGAGGGTGTTAAATGACAGCAGCAGCAGCAGCTTACGGCGTGAGGGCCCATCAGAGATCCAAATGGCTGCAGCACTGGCGATTCGCACCTGCCTGGACTCTGAAGATGTGCCCAGCATCGAGTTCCTGACGTCTGGCCCGCAAGGAGGAGGCGATTCCGGTCTGCTGATTTTGCTACGCTGTCTGCAGCGTAGCCTCACTGGGTCCAATCATTATGATGTACCGGAGCCCAGTGAAAGGTGGTCAGACTTCGACTTCATCGTGGGGAGTGGGGTAGCGAAATTGTTAGCGAACCTAGATGAAGATTATGAAATGTTCTTCGAGCTGAGTGATCAGGCGTGCGGGCTAATGATGCATATGTTCTTTCAAGCCTCAAGCTTGGTGGCAGATGAGATCATAGATGGCAGCAGTGACTTGAAAAGCAGAGCTCTGGAAGGATTGATTGGCCTTGCGGAGAAGGACGAGTCATGCAGGAAAAGGATAACTGCGTCTAGAGTAGTCCCGATGCTACTGCATACATTGGAAGATGCCAAGGGAATGGGCGACGTGACCGCATCGGGATCAGGAGCAGGACCAGGAACAGATCATGGAAGTTCTTCGTTCTCTCCAAGTCGGTCTCAGAGCCCAAAAAATAGTCCCTGGAGGCACCTTATGCCAAGTCGTAAACCATTTAGGCAAAACCCGAGAACTCCAATGTTGGTGCCAGCACAACGTCTTTCTTACTCAGGCACCTTATCCTCCCCGCAGTCCTCCTCCTCTGTCTCCTCCTCCAGGATCCGAGGACATCCATCATACGATGAGATCGTCAAGTCCCTAGAGCTCCTTGCAATACTCGCTCGTGAAGAATCCTACATCATCATCGAAGAACAAGGCCTCATCTTGCTTATCGAAGTGCTCGACGACTTTGTCAATCGACGGAGTTCCAAACTCACACAGCATGCGGAGAAGGCCATCAACTTAATCTCTGAAATTACTCGGAAGCACAACTTGAATCAGTTATGTAACACAGCAGGTCAGATCCTTGCAAGAAGAGTCAAGGACGTTCTGGTGACAGCACTTGATAAGGACAAAAATGTGCGACCTGTGGATGCTGACTGCAAGGTATGGAGATGGGTCATCATGGACACACTTCGAGTCATTGGTCACCTTCGCCATGACGGGCACCCTCTGATGGACATCGAGGTCATGCGATTAGTCTGCACATGTCTTGATGTCACTGGTAAGTGGTTCGTGACCTCCGAACAAGAAGGCTTAAGGATCGCCGCACGCGCCATTCGAGCTCTCGCCACTTTCGATAGACCTCTGGAACATCAAGAATTAATCAAGATCTTTAGGAGGGACCATCCCAGAAGCTGGATGCAGCCACTTGTTTACTTGCTGAGCAGCTTGAAGACGTTAGTCCAAAACAGCAGCCATGACGTGAAGCTCGCCTTCGTCTTCGGCTTAAGGATGCTCTCGTCTTTCATCAAGGATAACGATAACAGCACCAGAGCCGAAGCCATTCTCAAGGCCAACATTGGCGTCCCTCTCGCTAACTTGCTACGCATGCCAACGCTCTCCAACAGACGTTTAAGCACCGAATCCGACCACAGCATTTGTGTCGCTTGCAGTGCTCTCGGGGTTTTGTTAAGGCTCAAATCTAAACACAAAGACCAATACAACACACTCAAGGCATCCGGTTGTTTCCATAGTCTTCACTTCCTGTCGATAGATCAGCAGATAGCTCCCGAGTGTAAACTGAATGCACTGAATGTACAACAGGAATGGGCTTCCTATTTCCCAGAGGTGAGAGATCCACCCGACCACTTCGGCTTGCAAGGGGAGTGACGATGTCGGCTGGTATAAGTGTACTGAATGCGCCAAGGAACAACCATACCACAAACATATGCTCATCGACAAGGAACAGACATTGCCCTTGGTAGATTTTCATCACTCACAGACAAAAAGGTAGCATTTAAGTGCAAAAAGATGATTAAGGTAAGATTGGCCAAGTTGTTATTTGGGCAAGATACAATAAATACACGCATGCCTGTGATCTATAGACCGTATATAGAGCACTCCTTAGACGGTCTATAGATAAGCATCGTTTAGGCCACACAGACGGTCTATAGATACACTATAGATCACTCCTTAGACGGTCTCTAAAATTCTAAATACACTCTAGGTATTATAAGTTTCAGTCTATGGGTCACATAAGAAAAGCTTGGTGCAAATTAGATATACATCGTTTAGTAATGTAGAGGATGACGGAGATAGACCTCTATAGTAAGTCAATCCAGGATGCGTGCAGGTATATAAGGCAACGATAGGACCATTTATATGACGTTTCTGTGATTTGTTGCCAGATTGTGGAGGTGATTTGTGGGCAGATTATGGAAGTGATTTGCGGGCAGATTATGTTGGCAGGCAGGTAAGGGAACGATAAGTCCCCCATTTCTATGACATTTCTGTGATTTGTTGGGAGATTTGTTAGCACATTATGGAGAAAGGGTAAAGGAGGTAAGGGGAGGAGGGGGCAGGGCCTTTTTTTTTGTGACATGTCTCTGCGTTAGCTGTGCTTGTTCTCAATGTCAAAGAAGCAAGCAAGAGCGGTACGATTCTCTCGGTTCACAAATTAGCATTTTTGCAGTAAAACTCTGTTTTTCTTTTTTTAATTTTATTTTTTTTAATTTTTTATTTTAACCGCCTGTGGAGTAGCAGGCTTGATTGCGGCTCTGCAGAATCGATTTATTAAGTCTTGACTCTTAAGAGAAAAATAAAACAGAACTGAGAACACAGGGAAACGGGCCTAGTGCAGTTGGTACCCCTATGAACTCTTGAGAGACGAATCCAGATGGAACTGGTCGAATGAATTTCTGAATTGCCAGCGGCCGGTCAGTTTCACGATATCTCAAGGCCATCCCCCCTTCTTCACTTTCGAAGAAAAAAAAGAGAGAACACAGGGAACAGAAGGTAAGGTGGAGGCGATTTTTCTTTTTCTTTTTGGCGAATTATTATTATTACTCTCTACAGTATTACTATTATATTTTTGAGGCTCCAGCAAGCCTCTCGGCCGACAGGAGGAGATCAGTAGGCCCTGCCAGGAGTGTGTGGGACCAGTCATTCCCAGGCAGGGGCCTGGTAGGGCTGCCTGAGACAAGGTAGGTTGCGGCTGAAACCGGAAGACTCTGGCAGGCAGTGCCCACCGGCCAGATAGAACCGGGCTTTGGTATATAAGGAAAGGCTGGGGCTGAAACGGTTTTCACCTACAGCAGTAACAGATGCAGAACCAGGGCTCGATCCCTAGACCTCCCCCTCACCCGTGTACAGCACCCGTTGACCTGTGTGTTTGAACCCGTGACCTGTTCCCCGAAAGTCGTATGTTCGGCAACTGTACATAGTGCGGTCGCGAGGTTTTGAGCCGTAGACCTTAGGATAGGGAGTGATGGGGTTAGCATAGGTCGTATCCGCTCCAGTTCTGAAAGGTCAAGTCCACGACCTTCTAGAAGTGTTAGAACTGGCTCTTTGCAGGTCTTAGGAGTAGTCCGCGGCTGAGTCTGCAACGGGTAGTCCCAGCACAGTCAGCAAAGGGAAGTCCCAGTCCTACCTAGTCCAGTCAGCGGTACCCAGTCCTGGGTGCACTTTGTCTAGTCCGCAAGTACCATGTGGGACTGTGTACATCCCGGAGTCCAAGGGCAGACCAACGACGATCCAAAGTATAAATAAAGAGGCAATGTCAAGTCATTCATTCATTCTGGCTGTGAGCCGTGCAGAAGCGCTGTCGGAGCGCCTTGTGCTACAGAGGTCTGCAGGTGCCCGAGGAAGAAGAGGGCTAAGAGGAGGAAGATGCGGCCATAGCCGCGAGCTAGCATAGGAGGTAGACGGCAGCCATAGCTGCCATGTAGGATAGGATAGGAAGTGTGTGTGTGTGTTGAGTGTGTATGCGTGCGGGATATTCAGGGTGATCCTACTGTGCGTGTGTGTGCGCAAACAAGTTGCTGGTGGATACAGTTGATCGGGTGGGAATTGTTGTCTGGCGCTGCGCGCCATAGCCATCAAGACAAGTTTGAATCTGAGCTGTGTTCCTGGCCACGTTTACCTCTGAGCTTTGTGTGGGCGCTATGTGCCAAGTTCATTCGTCATCTGTTTGCATGCATGCCGAAGCAAGCTTGAGACAAGTCCGATTGCAGGGCAGGTAAATACTAAGAAGACATTTGGACACAAATTGCTGCCAGGCTGCACGGGCGCTAGGTCAATGCCATGCTCCAGGAGAGCGAAGTACCTTGCATCCAGCCAGCACCAGCCATAGCTGGCCTAAGGAAGAAGACCAGCTCCATAGCTGTAGGGAGCTGAGGTGTACAAGCAACGTGGTGCTAGAATGGGAGATTCTTCCTCAGCCCAGCTATGGCGCTGGTCTTCTTCCTCAGCCCAGCTATGGCGCTGGTCTTCTTCCTCAGCCCAGCTATGGCAGTGGTCTTCTTCCTCAGCCCAGCTATGGTGGTGGTCTTCTTCCTCAGCCCAGCCATGGCGATGGTCTTCTTCCTCAGCCCAGCTATGGCGGTGGTCTTCTTCCTCAGTCCAGCTATGGTGCTGGATAGGGGGGAAGGGCTGTAGGGAGAAAGAGTTGGGGAGGGGCTTACCTGGTGGATGCCAAGAAGAGCTCCAGTGTGAAATGTTCTTCAAGCATAGATCAGTGGGAGAAGCACGGAACTGTGTGGCGCTGTACTATGCCGTAGCATAGGCTAGGGTAGACGATAGAGGACCCCACCAGGTGGAAGGAAAATCGGCAAGGGCTGAGAACTATTGCTGTTGTGGTTGTATTGATTATTGTGAGCCGAGAGGAGGGCTTTTCGTCAAACACAGAGACTTCAGCATCGCCTGTTTTTGTGCTGGTACGATCATTGCGCTTTGTTGTGTCTGCCGTATGCACGCTGGTCAAGAAGAGTTCATGTTGCTTGTGATTTGAGTTTCTCCTGTGTGGTTTCCTTGCATGTTGGTTTTTAGACTGAATAAAGAAAAACAAAAAGTCATACTGTCATAGACATGTAATGTGTTGTTTGGTTCCTTGGAAAGTGGGAAAAAAAAAGAAGAGGCAAATGTTTCCTCTCCTTGGAAGAAGAAGAAGAAGAAGAAGAATGTAATCATTGTAATGTCATCTTCCTCCTCTGGCACATCGTCGTCACCTGTCGCATAATCACCTCCTCCTCTTATGAACCTTTAATAAAATACAAATAAACAGATGAGTGAACACAGATGAATGTCTGAATGTTCGCCTTATCTGTCAGCACTCAAAGGCCTCTTCTCTCTCTTTGTCCTGTCCTCACGGAAGCACTTGGCTATGGCAGATCATCCATGCCTAGCATGGATGTTCAACAGACAACGCGCTACTACCATGCCTCTCCCAACTCTTCCCACTATAGCCTCACTCCCGAATGATGTCCGTGTCCAACTGGTGCCGCGGCAGGGGCCTTCTAAGATTAAGTCCCAACCAAAGATGTGGATATGAAGGTCCAGCACAGCCTAAGGTAATTCTCTCGGTCGCGTCCCTCCTCCTCCTCTACTTGTCTTCTCCACCTACTTCCCTACTTACTAATCGTCCATAGCCATGGAGGTCTTCTCCCTCACTCTCAACTCCTCCTCCTCCCATCTACTGCTTCACCTCACGCTCCCTCAGGCTGGAGCAGCAGCACGACTGTCCAGTGAATGCCTGGACTACTTGCTGCACCAAATGATATACTCTGGCCTCCGCTCTCTCGACTCCTCATGTCGGCCTACTCCTGGACCTACCAGGTGTTCTATCCGGACTACCGGTTCCCTCCTTTTGCCAGGAATGTCATTATTGCGGACTTGTAAGTCTACCTGCAGGACCAGTACCATCATAACTGTACCTGCAGGACCAGTACCATCATAACTGTACCTGCAGGACCAGTACCGTCATAACTCTACCTGCTAGCCTACTATACCTCATGACCTACCTACGGGTACTAGGGGGGGATGCTCTTTTTTTTTTTTAAAGGCTAATTCTTTAAGCCCAACCAATTCAATTACCTGTCAAATCTGGACAGGATGGCCTTTCAGGCCTTTTTTATTGTCATTATAGTATTACGGGGAACCCTGTAGCAGCCATATCCGTGCTCAAGCCTCCAACGAGGGAACATGCGGGAGCTGCACCCACCAGCAGGTGCGATACCTGCTACAGCAGGTGGGCGATACCGGCCAGGGGTCAGCCGGTAGCATCAGGACCGAGCTTCTTCGATGGGCCAGTCACTGTGCCTCCCCTCCGGTCCCCTCCCCCTATGAACATCAGCAGAGACATGCTCTTATCACCCTGTCTAGTACCGTGAGCCAGAGTTAAAAAAAAAAAAAAAAAAAGACACCTCATGACCTACTAAAGTTACTGGAATATCCCTGCTGCGTACCTAGCAAATTCTTCTTCGGTCCTTGTTCTCCCTAGCAAATTCTACTTTTGTCATTGTCTCCGAACTAGAATCTACCTGCAGGATAAGTGCCATCATAACTCTACCTGCTAACCAGCTGAACCTCAGGACATACCAGAGTCACTGAAGTGTCCCTGCTGAGTCTCTTGCGCATTCTACTTTTTTCAGAAGTTTTTCCTTTTTCTTTTTTCTTTTTTTCTTTTTTTTTTTTTCTTTTTTTTTTTGTTTTTGTTTGAGCATTTATCGATTTGCGCGTGTCATCCTTGTTCAGGGGTTATGCTAATTTCCTCTGTATCGTTCCAGTCTATCATTTTCTTCTTTTTTTTTGCTGAAAAAAGCAGAAAACGGCTTGGGCTACTGCAGGGGGCGATATGAGCATCCCTAAATTGTAACCTTCTGCCAATTTGGACCATGTCCCAATTTATGCGTGTCATCCTTGCGCAGGGGCCATGCTGATCTTGTCTACATTCTCTGTATCGTTTCCTTGGTAAAGGATGTCACGAAGGACAGAACTAGAATCTCCTACGTCTGTCAATCGTCCAGATTTCAGTCCTACTGTAATGAACCCAGTCTGGAGGAAACTTGTCAAGTCTCGAAATGCAAGATGACTCAGCGCTGATACAATATCTCGTAACCATAGGACGAAGAAGGTAGGGGGGAGGTTGGACTTAGAGGGTGGAAGAGAATGTATCCATCAATGTCCACGTAGACAGAACACCCTCATTCCCCACTCCTTCTTCGGGCGTCACCCCCATGTCCACGTCAGCAACAGTGTCCTAGAAATGAGCCTGACCAGATCTGGTCACAGCATAGTGCCACGTAGGCACAGTTCTCCCATGAAGACGCCTCTGCATCGCGCTATGTCGACAGCATCAACAGGTAAGTCCCCCCTCTCTCACTCAATCAATCCCACAGATCCCAATCTCCCTCCTTGTCACATTCCAATCAGTGTCAAAGACAGTGTGGCATGCTCCATGTCAGCAATGCCAAGACAGTGTGGCAAGTGCCATGTCAGCATCTAAGAAGACAGCTAGCGCCCAGAAGCAGAAAGGCGCCAGACGCAATGCAGCAGTCTCGCGTCGTTGTCGCACAATGCCAGCATAGAGCCAGCGTCTTGCCAGCGTCTTGCCAGCATCCAGCCAGCGTCGTGCCAGCGTCAAGCAGCAATGTAAGACTGAATGTTGACTCCCAGGGGCAGGGTCAATAAGTAGTGTTGACGAACTTGACCAGCCTCTGGTCTCCCATGTACGGAGGCTCAGATTGACTCACAGCCGGCGGCTTGGATCTCGTACAATTCCAGACTTCTAATTGGACTGAATGTTGTCTGGATACCTGCGTACAACCAAGTGTGTGTGTCTGATCGGTGGATTGGACTAGGTCCGTGAAGACTTTGACTCGTGAGCCTCAATGTTTCGTCATACAGTTGACTTCAATCAATTGTCGGGCGCAGGGCCTCTGAAGCCACGTTTCAAGGGTTTTGTTCCCCTCAGTCGGACGCAGGGCCTGGCGGCAGTTTCGAGGCCTGCAGGTGGCCCCCTTGGCTGATGACATAGGCATATTTGAGCGGGTTATTGCATTCCCGCCGGCCCAATTTTCGAGTTCTATCGCAGAAATTCTTCATACTTAGTTCTCTTTCAAACCACACTCATATGCATAGACTGTATCAGGGGCAGTAGGTAAAAGCTCTTTCTTGCTGAACCACTGAGCTTGAGACGGGTGTTCAAACTTAAATTTTACCTTGAACTGCTTTTGTGGTCTTCCCCTGCCACTTGTAGAAAAGTATTCACGCTCAAGTATTTTCTCAACTTCATAGCCTCCATCCATTGAAGGAGGAAACATAGATGGCCTGTTGGGAAAATCAAGACCTTCTACATATGGCAGTAGTTTAGACGCGTGAAAGACAGGATATGTCTTGAGGTGTGCGGGTACATTTATTCTGTGTGATCGTCCATCAGTATCCCCTATCACCTTGAGAATTTCCTAGGGTGCGTAGTAGACAGGTAGCAGCTTCTGTGATACATTTTCTTCTAAGGAAAATTCTTTAGACTTGACCCAAACCAGGTCTCCTTCTTTGAACGTTGATGGCCGAGGATGCTTGTTAGCCTGTTCAATCATTCGTAGTTGGTTTTTCTGAATATTTTTCTTGGTTTTCTTTAAATCTTCTTCATACATAACTGCAAATTATCGTGTTCTTGGTGGGAGCTATTGGACTCGGTCTTAGGTCAGAGCATCAATGGGACTTCATGGCTTCCATCCTTTGTGAAGTGTGTTCGGTATTCTGCCAGTCACTGTGTGAATACTGTT